AGGCCGACGAGAACACCTGGTCGTGGATCTTCCGGGCCTTCCACGCAGCACAGCACGGAGTTGAGGATGTGAGCGTCGGGCCTCGAGCAGCATCCGTTTGGTAGTAGTCAAGGCTTTTTTGGTAGCGATCGTCACTCTCGGTTAGTATTTGCAGTAGTTTATTGTTCTTCTTCTTCGTCCTCTTCTCCTGAGAGATCGTTGCCATCGTCACTGTGAACACCACCATCATCGATAGACTGATCGTCGTTGGTTGCATCGTCGCTTGTGCTGTCGGAGTCCGGCGGAGGATGGCAGTATGTAGTCCTTGAGCATCTGACGAGCAGACCGTGTCTCGTCTGGAAGACCTCTCGACGCTACATCTTTCCTTCGCACGTCTGGATCTACCTCGTGCGAAGAGTTGCTCGACTCGGTACGGTAAACCAAACAGAACGGCCCTCTTCCTAGCCGTGCGACTGAGCGTAGGACTTGGGAAGCTCCGCAGCTGTAGGAGGCCTGTTTTGATCATCGTACAGCTTTGCTTCGGGAGTAGCAAGCCGTAAGTCTGCCTCCGTGGTGGTGATGACCGGGCTCATCAACGTACCGGAGGTATGGCGGGCTCGATTTCGCGGGAGAAGTTTTTGACCGTGTGGAGTTCAAGGATGTGAACGTCGATGCTCTCGGCTTACTCCCACTCCCCCGAGGAGGCCGTGGACCACGAAGGCGTTGTGCCGAATCACATCACCTTTGCGAGAGTCCTCGACGCTTGCGCGGATATGGCAACGGCCGCCGTCCACGAGCGGGTCCTCCAAGCGGACCGAGTGATCGTGAGCGCGCTTCTCATGAGATCAATCTCTACGGCAAGTGTGGCAAGGTGGATCTTCGACGAGTGCTGGAAGTACCTCTCGTGCTGGAACTCGATGCCCACGGCTATCAGTGAGACGCTCGAGCTCTTCCTCGTGGTGCCCTACGAGATAACTTACACGGTACTGGTTGCCAAGCTGGGCGCTGGCCGGGAGGTGTTCCGGCTCCCAAGAACGCGAAGGACGTGAAGAGAGGCTCTCGTTTGGCGCGAGTGGCTCACGTATCCAGAGAAGTCGTGGCCGTATGTTATACTGAGCCAGATGAGGCTGAGATCCAGCAGCTGGAGAACAAGGCGAACAATTTCTTCGAGTGTTTTTCTAGTTTTGATGTATGTGGCCTTCAAATTGCTCGAGGCCAGCATCAATTTGGAAGTGTAGCCTCTTTTTCTTTGTGCTCTTGTTTCAATCATTCATTGTTGCGTGCAAGTTGAACCTCGAGTGTTTCAAGACTTGAGATGTTAGATTCCTTGATGAAAAGCAAAGTCCTCCAACAAAATTAACATGTCATGAACGTCAGCTTACTCTTGTTTGTACTCCTGTTTCAGCTCTTCAATCACTTTGTCTCGCTTTCTTTGTCCAGTTTAGACCGAAGAGTTTCAAAATAAATTCCATTTTCTCACTCTTTGTACCTTGAGATTGAAGGATGTAAGTTCATGCTTGACATAGCGCATGTAGATAGAACAAGGAGTTTCTGCTTGCAAGTCGTTATAACACAAATCATAAGATAAATGGTGAGATTCGTACACTGATTTGATAGATTTTAATACGCTTCCACGTTCAGGCCACGAACACGGCGTTTGTTACGGCATTCTCGAAGGTGCTTTGATGCAAATGGATTGCCATTGACATATCCAAAGTCTCCTCTCTTGCCTGTCTGATTTAGATCGTGAAACATCCTGCTGGTTCTTATGTCTTTCTTTTGCTTGGTCGTCTATGCACAGGCTGGATCGCTCTCTCGTTTGCTTCTCTCGAGAGCATGAGCACAACTTTTTGAGAGAATAGGCCCCAGTGCCGGCTCGCTCGAGCGGAAAATGTGGTCGGCTGATCATCTCCTTCTCCCTTTCACGCTTGGCTTTATCCTCGCAGCACAGACTTACGTTTCAGCGCAACCAGGTGAGTAGCATTTCATCGATTTGAAAGATGGTTTTTGGAAGAACTCTATCGATCTTGTGCAGGATTTTTGAGCCTCGACTGTGGAGCTTTCGACAGCCACACTGATGTAAATGGTATCGAATGGATACCCGACGACAAGTACATCACCACCGGAGAGACAGCTTCCATTTCAAGCTTGTTGAAGAAAGATGCGGATCTAATAGTGCAGCGTCTTCGCTACTTTAATGACACCTCCCGGAAGCACTGCTACGCTTTGCCAGTTGTGGTGGACGAGAGCTACATCGTGAGGCCGCGGTTCTACTACGGAAACTACGATGGGCTGGAATCAACTCGAGTCGAGTTTGACATCGCGATTGGTGCGAATACTGTGATGAATGCGAGCCTGGGAAGCCAGTCGTCGTGGTACTACGAGTTTGTGGTGAAAGCCACAAACTCGACACTAGATCTATGCCTTGGAACCAGCTCGAATTCACCGGCAAATATCCCATTCATCTCCACAATCGAGCTTAGAAGGCTGGCTCCTGGGATGAGTGGAAGTGTCTTGGATTATAGTGAGGTCTTACTCATGTGGAGAAGGATCAATCTTGGAGCAACTTCAAACGAAGATATCAGGTAAGAAACTCCCAAACTTTTTTCTCTTCGAGCGTTCAATTCTTCGAACAGGTATCCTTTGGATGAATACGATCGAATATGGAGAGCTGACAAGAGCTTCAAAAACATGGGAAGCTACCAGCGGATCAACACTAACTCGACTGTTTCCGTAGGGAAAACTTTTAACAAGCCTCCCACCGCGGTGATGAGCTCCGCGATCGTCTCCAACTCCGTGATGGTCTTCGAGTTTCCAGCCACGCTCGAGGCAACGAAGTACTACGTGAACTTTTACTTTGCGGAGTTCTTCGCTCTGGGGAACGACACGAGAGAGTTCACGCTCCTTTTCAACACCAGCTCTCTTGAAACTCCCCAGATCGCGGTGACCGTCAACATCGAAAAGCACACCCAGGCTCCGCTTACTTCAGTGCAAGTGTATCTCAAAGCTCCCGTGGAGCTTTCTAATCCAACGCGTTTCTTTCTGGTCCCCACGCCAAACTCTACGCTGGGTGCGGTCCTCAATGCTGCGGAGCTCTTCGAGTATAAAGGTGGTCTCCTTCCAGGGACAGAACCCAATGATGGTATGTAGCATCATATACATTATCTTGTTTGTGACAGTTTTCTTCTCTGGACAGTGGTAGCGATTCGTGATGTGATGAATGACTTTAACATCACTGGATGGTCGGGAGATCCTTGTTTGCCTCTTCCCTACACTTGGCAGTGGATCACTTGCGACGTAGCTCAAATCCCAGCAAGAATCACAGAGCTGTAAGAGGATTCATATCTATCATACGAAACTGAAGAGCTTTGCATTGCAGGAACTTATCCAACCAACGTTTGAGTGGTAATATATCACAGTCCATCACGAAGCTGTTACATCTAACAAAAATGTATGAAAGGCTCTTTAGCACTTGGTTTCTTCTCATCTTGTCCTTCAGATATCTGGATAACAACGCATTGACAGGGCCAGTTCCAAACTTTAGCTCCTTGAAGAACCTCACGGTTTTGTGAGTACAGCGTATGCTCGAAAATTAGAGTGTTTCTTACACTCACTATTTCACAGGTCCTTACAAAACAACAGCTTGGATTGTGTACCACCAGAACTGCAGCTCTCTTTCAAGTTCGTTTATCGAGATTCTCTCTTGAATTTTATCTTTTGTTTCCTTCCTTCTGCAGCACTAGTGTTAAGTTATGCGAGAAACTCGACGCAAAGAAGACGAAAAATACAACACTTTTAATTGGAATCGCGGTTCCATGCGTAGCCATGTTACTACTCGCAGCTGGACTTGTTGTGTGTTTCATGTCCCGTAGAAAGACGGACAAGAGCCCAGGAACCATCAGACCACAGGAGTCAGATACCAAAGATACTGAGAGTCCAAGTAAGTTGCAAACTGCTGGCTTGTGTTTACAGCTCATTTCTAATCTCCAGGCCTGGCTCCAAAGTCTCCAAACTCCAGCACCAAAAACTTTAGTTACAAAGATGTGATCGAGGCCACAAACAACTTCAAGCAAGTTCTAGGCGAAGGAAGCTTTGGACCAGTGTACTATGGCCGCCTTTCCAATGGTGTTGAAGTTGCTGTTAAGGTTTTGTCAAGCTCCTCAAAGCAAGGATATCAAGAGTTTAATACAGAGGTGAGTTTGATCGTGAAGCATGGATACCAAACTGATTCAAAACCATTGCATTTTCTTGGCAGATTGATATTCTATCAGTCGTACATCATAGGAACTTGGTCTCTTTTCTTGGCTACTGTGACCATGGATCGAAGCTTATACTGCTCTATGAGTTTTTGTCGAATGGAACTTTGAGAGAGCACTTGTATGGTAAGTGATCTTCTTTGGTTTCCATTTGTCTCTCTTTAATGTGCTTGTATGTAAGGCACAAGCTGTCCAACTTTAAGTTGGAAATCTCGATTGCAAATTGCTTTAGACGCTGCTCAAGGTAAACAAGACGAGTTTGTATGATGGCTCTAAACAATGATTTTCATAGGATTGGAGTATTTGCACACGTCTTGTAATCTTCATATAATCCATCGAGACATAAAGACAACCAACATACTTTTAAGCTCTGCTATGGTTGCCAAAGTTAGCGATTTCGGGCTCTCTAAGCTTTACGACAAAAACAATGCATCTCACGTCTCAACAATTGTCAAAGGAACTCCAGGATATCTCGATCCAGAGTAAGCAGAAACTTCAATTTCATTATCTTCTGGTTTGAACCATTGTCACAAATTTTTCTTCAATGGTTTCTCAGGTACCATTCCTACAGTAGACTCACAGAGAAATCAGATGTGTACAGCTTTGGAGTGGTACTGTTTGAAATTGTTTGCAGCCGTGAACCTATCAATCTGACACTTCCAGAGGAACAAGTTGTTCTTTCAAAATGGGTAAGAACACTCTTTCCAAGTCTTTCGCTTGCTTGACAGCAGCTTTACTTCCTCCAGGCATGCAGGGAACTCGAGAGAGGCAACCTGAAAACTCTAATAGATCCCAAGCTATCAAGCTATAAAGAGCAAGCAGTATGGAAAGTTTTGGAACTTGCAATGAACTGCGTGGAGCATCGATCCGATAGGAGGCCAAACATGAGCGCTGTGGTAAACGAGCTGAAAGAGGCCATCCAACTTGAAGAGGAAGGGAACTCTATCACACGACCTATGGATACTTTCAGCAGAGGAAGATAAGCAGTGCAAGTTTACCAAAATTGGGACAGTGGTTTAAGAAGTGTTGGTGGTGTTGATCAATTTCTTTCGCCGTTCTTCATAAGTAGCTAAAACACACAATCGTCAGCTGTGAAACTCTGGTAGAAGTTTGCTTACGTTCAGTGGGCCGAGAGAGGAGAGGCACATAATTTGTTTTGCTAAAAGAAACAATTGAGTCTGCAACATGATGGATTTAATCAAAGCATGAAGAGAAGCATGCTCACCAGGACAATCAAGCTCCAGCATGCCTTCAGAAATTAGTGCAGCTGTTAACAGCGTTTGGTCGAGATGTTTCAACAAATGCCTATGTATCTGTGCTTTTGATTCTACAAACATATGTAAACCAAAATGTGAGCCTGGATCTAACTTTGACACTTACCAGGCCGGCAGTAGAATCGAAGGCCTTGAAAAGCACAACTCTGAAGAACAAGCGGAAGCTCGGGCGCCATCACATACTGTGGTTTTCTCATTGTCTTGTCCACATCTAAAAGGTCATCAATGATCTACAAAATCAACAAACTTATTTATCTCCATGGAAAAAATCGAGTTGCAGCTTACTGTCAGTGTTTCATGGCCACGGCCAATCATGAAAAGCACAGCAGCCATGCAACGAACTTGATGCCATAAGAATGCGTTTCCTCGGACGTGCATAACCCACAGACTTCTTCCTTCCCAGCTGAAAGGCGAGACAGTGATGAAGAAACCAACAATCCAAAGATTCAAATACTCTACCACTCTTCAATTGGAAGAATGTCGAAAGCCAGAATCTGTCGGGTGTAGTTGTGAATGTTGTCAGCATCCATTTTACAGAAGTTGCGAAAATCGTGCTCACCAAGCAGTCGCTGAGATGCTTGCTTCATGGCCTAAACAAAATGAAAAGAAAAATGAAACTTCTGCAGCCAAATTTTCAATTTCTTACGTCTATGTTTAAGCCATCGTCGATGAAGAAGTACTTGTACTCCCGATACAAACAGCTGAACCTGCGCAGCAGAGCACTCGCAAAGTGAATGCTTAAATTTGAGAGTGATACCTTGCATGAAATCCAGGAGGAACAGGACACCATCCAAGAACTCGTATATCTGCTGGAAGAGCCCGATTAAGTGAGCTTACGTAGTCTATTTCATCGTCATCTGGCGTGATTCACACGATTAGATCACGAAATCTCGAGTGACGGTACCTGTTTCGGCGGCAAACATCTCCTCCTCTTCGCGGCTGGATCTTGCGACAGTGACTCTATCTTTTGAGCCATAACCAGACTCTTCGGTGTCATCCAACGCTTTCTTTTTCGAGCGCAAATACAATGCAATAACCTGCAAGCAGCCAAGCTCGAAAAAGGAAGAGTTACACCGCAAAGAGAACCTGAGCAGTCGCCGAAACACCTCTATCAGTTCGACCACACCTCGAGTAATTTGCATCGGCTATAGAACCGACTACAAGATTTGTTCTCTGTAGAGCGGCAAAGATCTCGGACTGGAAAATGCCAGAGTTGCTCTCATGTTCTAAGAAAACACTGCATACCTCGACAGTTTTAAAAGCACAGCCTTGCGACGCAAATCCATGGTAACTAGATAGTAACAAAGAAAAAAGAAAAAAAAAAATCAGCTTTCTTCCAAACGAAAGATAGGAACGTACCAGCTGCCAATGTACATGATTTTCAAAGCCACAAATCGTCGCTTAAAGTTTCCTAGCAAGAGAGAAAGAGTTACTAGGAATCCTTTTAAACGGATCGTAGAGTACCTTGATTTTCTTTCTTGTGATTCTTGTGAGTCCGCTTCGATTTTAGCGACTGGTTCTCACCATGCTGAAAGAACAGAGAGTAAATCGAATGGGACAGAAGAAGAACGAACCTGCTGTGAGAATCGAGCAGTTAAATTTGCATTCTCCATTTCCAGTGCCTGCGCCAAGATTTTCACTCACTGAAGAGAGGATGAAAGAACTTGCCTTGATCCTCGCAGTCAATGCGGCAACATCGTTCTCCAGCTCGCGGATGCGCCCCTCTTCCATCGACCCCAAAATTCAAGAGCAAATTTTAGGGTTTATGGCGAGAGTTTAGGGTTCTTGAGGTTTTCCCGCCATGGCGATGAGCTTGAGCGGAGCGCGAATGGGCGGCGGCAAGCGCACATTCCCCGGCGGCGTCACCGAGTGGCAGTGGAAGAGGCTCCAGATGCACAAGCAGCCGCGAGAAGGCGTGGCTGCTGCGCGAGCGCCGGATCTAGGAGAAGCGCAAGAGGCAGGAGCGCGGTGACGGTGCTGGAGAAGCCATGGGAGCAGAGCTTCCCGGCCAGGACGCCCAGCACACACAGATGCCTACCAATCGATTCTCATAGCTCCTTATAGACCTTTCCCATTTCTCGGGAAGAACAGGACGAATCGACTTGGCCGCCGAGGCTTGTCCCATCCACCAAGGAAGATCAAAACCTCTGGGATTTTTGGCGAGCCAATCTCGGTGCACCGGCAGGAATGGCCGATCGTCTCCACGATCTTGCCAAATGCTATCAATCACGAGCCGTGCCGACGCTCCAGGTCATCGTGGTGATGTCCGCGTTCCGCCGCTTCATCAGCGCCTTCCCAAGCACCTGGCTCCCCTTCTTGCCGCAAGAACTGGTAGCTATAGCTTGGATCCAAGTTCAGTCACAGTGCCGGTTACGCTCGATCCAAGCTCGAGAACTCCGCCAGTTACACATGATCCAAGCTCGAGAACTCCCCCAGTCATTGCAGTGGTTCCAATCTCAAGAGCCTTCCAGTGTTCTTGGCGGTCTCCACTAGACCACTGGCGACTACGCCCGATGCTTCGCCATCGCCGTGCCCACAGCATGCGAGGTTTTTCCACTCACAGCCACAGCAACGTTCTTGACACCGCCAGCGGCATTTGTGACGATGCTGGCGACGTGGGATCCAACGTTTCCAGTGAAGATCTCGACGAAGTTGCCGGTCACGGTATGGATCATGGCTTCGGCTCCAAACTTTGCGACTTTGAAGAGCCAAGCTAGTGGTGACGAAGGATCCCACCGATGAAAAGAACCGCCAGGATGCCGAGAGGGGCGAGAAGTGGAAGGAAGAGCAGGAAGATTGGTGTACCGATGAGCAGCACAAAGATGGTTACCAGTGCCGGCCAGCATTCCTCCAGCACAGACAAGGATGAGTCGATGCTTGATTCGATCCATGACGCCTTGCAAGCATTTCCAGGTCATGGCTAGCGCTTGACAAGCTTGCTCGGCCATGAATCAAGCAGCAGGGTGATTGTGAAAGCAGATCAAAGCTTCGGAAAAGCTTTGCGACTGGTGATCTCGTCTCGGACATAAGCGACACACAAAGTTTTTGCAGTTTGGGAAGCCGATTGAAAACGAGACTTGTTACGCATTTACTCCTGGCTTTCGTTCGTGGCTGGTGCAAGAGAGCTTCCAGATGCAAAAGCCGGACACTGCGAGCAAAGAGACATCGAGCACAAGATCATCAATGGGCGTCTTCGTTAGAGATGACTCAGGTAAGTTGGTATACTCTGTTAGCTTACAAACTTACACAGCTAGTTTCATCAAATGCACAATAGAGTGGACGCGATGGCTGGTGATGGCGATAATGTTCAGGGTATGCTACCTCTTATCGCTTTCATTGTTTAAGTTAACGCGTGACAGCTTGAAGTCTCCATTTTCTCTTCCCAAGTTTGGTGGAAAATGGTGACTTTTGTCTCTCACTTTGAAGGGAGTGCCAATTCCTCAGCATGGACTGTTACTTCGATGTAAAACTGGAATAGTTTCAAGAGATTTTTTCCAAGTCCAGAACGTTCTATGGATTTGGCGAGAAACTTTCAGAGGTACTTTTCAAATGGATCTTATTGACTTGCTCTTTGCGCGTGCATGTTTGTTTGCGTGACAAAGTCCCTGGTTGCAGCGTCGTTGTTATCATGTCTTTCCAGGTCTTAAGCAAGTTTCAGCTATCTGAAAAAGAGGGTAGCAACAATGTGGTCAACTCCTCTCATCCTTCTTTTTACGGCTCCATTCTTCGCAACACAGATTTATGTTTCAGCTCAACCAAGTTAGTTGGTTGACATGAATCTTTTGTTAAAAGTCTGAGCATTTTGTTTGCAGGATTTCTGAGCCTTGATTGCGGAGCTTCCGAAAGCCACACGGATGAGATTGGTATCCAGTGGACACCAGATGGCAAGTACATCAAGACAGGAGTTGAAGCCTCTGTTTCAAGTACGCTGAGGAGGGGATTGAGTCCAATCTATCAGCGCCTTCGCTACTTTCCGGATACATCTCGAAAGCACTGCTATGGACTGCCAGTTCTGGTGGACGAGGTTTACCTTGTAAGACCAATATTTTACTATGGCAACTACGATGGCCTCGAATCATCTCTCAGAGAGTTTGAGATCCTGATCGGTGCGAACAAGGTGACTGATACACATATTACAAAAGGAGAACCGTGGTACCACGAGTTTGTCGTGAAGGCTGCTAATTCGACGCTGGATTTTTGCCTTGCGAGCAACTCGACATCACCGGCAAATGTTCCATTCATCTCGGCAATCGAGCTGCGGAGACTGGAACTTAGCATGAGCGGAAACCTTTCAGATTCCAATGAAGCTATAGTAGTCTGGAGAAGGATAAATCTAGGAGCAACATCGGATGCCGATATCAGGTAAGCACTTGCTAGTGTGTTTCACATCTCCTTGCAAATAAAAACTGGAGTGGAAACAGGTTTCCCGAGGATCCTTACGATCGAATGTGGCAAGCCGACACAAACATTACGAGCTTGGAAAAGTACCAGCGAATCAGCACGAACTCGACGGTCTCGGCAAGCACGTTTGACAGGCCTCCCTCGGCGGTGATGAGAACGGCAATCACCTCGGACTCGGCCATAGTCTTTACATTCCCAGCGAAACTTAGAACATCACTGTACAAAGTCAACTTTTACTTTGCTGAATTCGCTAATTTAGGCAACAACACGAGACAGTTCACGATCTTCTTCAACACCAGCATGTTTCAAGATTCACCACTGATCATTGACACCGGAAAGGCCGACACTTTGACATCGACGCAAATGTACCTCAAGTATCCGGTGGAACTTTCACATCCGACGCAGTTTCTTTTTACTCCGACGCGAAACTCAACACTTGGTCCAATTATCAATGCTGCCGAGCTACTCGAGTTCAAAAATCTCCTCCCAGGGACAGAATCGGATGACGGTAAAAGATCCGCAGCCGAAAAGAAACATATTTTCTCATACTTGAACACATTGTTTTTTCTTTCTTTTACAGTGCTAGCAATACGCGAGGTGATGAACCACTTTAACCTCACTGGATGGTCAGGGGATCCTTGCTTGCCTCATCGTTACACTTGGAGCTGGATCACCTGCGACTTAGCTCAAAGCCCAGCGAGAATTACAGAGCTGTAAGAACAAGGTTTCTAACGTAGAATCTTTATGCCTTTGTACGTTACAGGAACCTGTCGAACCAGCGACTCAATGCTACCATACCAGAGTCTATCAGGAAGCTATCACATCTTACAAAAATGTATGTATCGTATTGAAACTTTTTTGTCTCCTTCACGGTTTCTCGTTTCAGCTATTTGGATAACAACGTATTGACAGGACGAGTTCCAACTTTTAGCTCCTTGAAAAATCTTACGGTCTTGTGAGTACATGCCATGCCACATTGCTTGAGCTCCTTGCTTACTGGTTTCTTTTACAGGTCATTACAGAACAACAGTTTGGATTGCATACCACCAGAACTTCAGTTCTCTTTCAAGTCAGTTTTCTTTTTTATTGTTTTTTTTTTCTTATCATTTCTTTTTGCAGCATAACTGCTAACTTATGTGAAAAGCACAACAAGAAAAAAAAATACAACGCTTATCATTGCGGTAGCAGTACCATCTGTAGCCATACTATTACTTGGAGCTGGACTTGTATTTTTCTTCTCTAGTAAAAAGAGGGACAGTCCGAGAACTGTTAGAGCACAAGATGAAGAGACTACAGAGAATTCAAGTAAGTTCATCCTAGTTTTTAACTTACACACTGATCCGGTTCTCTGGGTTAGAGCCAAAGTCTCCAAATTTCAGTGCTAAAAGCTTCACTTACAAAGATATAATTAATACCACAAACAACTTTAAGAAGGTTCTTGGAGAAGGAAGTTTCGGACCAGTGTATTATGGCCGACTTCCAGATGGTACTGAAGTTGCAGTGAAGGTTTTGTCAAGCAGCTCAAGCCAAGGGCATCAGGAATTTTACACGGAGGTGACTTCAAATATCTAAAAACATTGTTAAATTTGTGTTTTCTTGACAGATCGATATTCTATCAGTTGTGCACCACAGAAACCTGGTAACTTTTCTTGGCTATTGTAATCAAGGGTCTGAGCTTATATTAGTGTATGAGCTTTTGGTAAATGGAACATTGAGGGAGCACTTATATGGTGAGTTTTTGTTATATAGTAATATCTTTCTTTCATGATGGTTTGTGCCTCTTTGATGGTTTCAGGCACAAACCGCCCAACATTAAGTTGGAAAACACGGTTGCAAATTGCTTTAGAGGCTGCTCAAGGTAAACAAGTTTGCATAAATTTGAATTGAGCAATACTTCTCTCAGCATTGGAGTATCTTCACACCTCATGCAATGTACACATAATTCATCGAGATATCAAAACAACGAATATACTTTTAAATTTTGCTATGGTTGCCAAAGTCAGTGACTTTGGAATTTCCAAGCTTTCTAACAAAAATGAAGCATCACATGTCTCAACTGCCATAAAAGGAACTCCAGGATATCTTGATCCAGAGTGAGCTTAGAAAATGTTGTTTTCATTTTAATCAAGCTGGTTTGACAGGTACCATTCATACAACAGGCTCACGGAGAAATCAGATGTATACAGCTTTGGATTGGTTTTGTTTGAGATTGCTTCTGGTCGTGAACCAATCAACCTATCTCTTCCAGAGGAGCAAATTGTTCTCTCTACATGGGTAAGAACACTTTTTTTCACTTTTGTTTTGTTTGACAGCAGCCTTCACTTTCAGGCATGCAAGGAACTTGAGAAAGGCAACTTGAAAGCGGTAATAGATCCAAAGTTATCAAACTATAGAGAGCAATCAGCATGGAAACTTTTAGAGGTTGCAATGAGATGTGTGGAGCACTCCTCCAAGGGAAGGCCTAACATGAGTATGGTGGTAACTGAGTTGAGGGAGGCTATTCAGCTTGAGGAGGATGGGAGCTTTAGCTCGAGGCAAAACTTCAACAATGGAATATAATATTTATAATAAATTGTTAGATGTTGCATGTATTAACATTTGGTTTGCTTAATAGTAGTGTTATTTTTATTTATTAATCCAATTGATCAAATAAAGTTTATAATTATAAGCATTTTTGTCATAAACACAAGATTAATCTTATTGTATATCAACCATTAGATGATACAATAAAAAATAATATAAAAATACAAGATTAATCTGAATGAATAACAACCATTAGATAGTAGAATATCTAAGTACATTCTAGGTATATCCACAAATTTGCTTAAACAAACCAAAAATATATTATGAGCATTAAAAAGTTTACTCTTCAGAATTAGACAGAATATTAAAAATATTAAGCTAATTAAGTACTTTTTTCAGTGGTTAAATTAATATAAATCATACTTTAGATTTGGGTCTAAAGTAAATTATTGCTGAGTGTTTATGGTCAGCAAGCAAGTCTTCCATCCCAAGAGTCTCTAGAATCTTTTATAGCAACAAAATTTCTACTTTCTGAAAAGTTTCTCCAAGTGATAAGATAAATTCCCAACTTTATAACCACCTTTTTGCAAAATATCTGGACTTAATTACCCACCATTAATCTCAAAAGTTATACTTCCTCCCCTTTCCCGCCGCGTGACGCTGGCCCTTGCCAAGCAGCCGTGCCGCCCCCGAGGCTTGGAACCACTTTCTAGGCAGTGTTGAGGAACCCAGAATATTGTGATAAAGTACTTTTCAATTCACAATCCTCCACCCCAGACTAATTATATGCAACCAAGCCCTAAAAATGATTCCTAGGTGACGAAATGTTTCTTTGCTGCAATCATGGCGTCGCAAGCTGTTATCAGTGCTCTTGGATCGATCATCGAAAGTTTCCTCATCACCAGGCCACAGCTCAAGAACTTTATCCATAGGGATTCAAAGACACATCTAAATGCTTAAAAGGTTTTGAAACGGTCAGAGACTTTGTGCTTATTTCTCAAAAGTTGGACTCACTGGATCCTCCAGATACAGTATATTCCTTTTGCAACGATCTGTTGTCACATATGATGTGTGAAAGGAAGATAGAAGAAAACACACTAGGTTCGTAAGTAGAAATGTGGTTGAAGGCACCGAGATGGGCAAAAGAACTTTTCAGATGGAATGGATTGAGACGCATACACATTCTCTCCCAGATAAGAAAACCCAAGAAAGAATGGTGGGTTTATTCATGAATCAGGTAGTAGAGTGGCGCAAAATGGTGACTGATTTTATAGATTTTAAAATACCCTTCCACGTCACGAACAATGCCGTTTCTTACGGCATCTGCGAGAACAAAGGTGATGCAAATGGATTGCCATTGACATATCCAAAGTCTCATCTCTTGCCTGTCTGATTTAGATCGTGAAACATCCTGCTAATCCTTATATGCGTTTTCTTTTGCTTGGTCTTTGCACAGGCTGGAATATTCTCGTTTTCTTCGCTCGAGACCATGAGCACATCTCTTTGGGGACTAGGCCGGAGTTTCGGCTCGAGCGGAAAATGTGGGAAGCCGATCATCTCCTTCTCCTTTTCATGCTTGGCTTGATCCTTACAGCACAGAGTTATGTTTCAGCTCAACCAGGCGAGTGGCATTTCACGATCCAAAATATGGTTTTTGGAAGAACTGTATACGACTTTCTGCAGGATTTTTGAGTCTCGACTATGGAGCGCTTTAGACGTCCACACGGACGAAAATGGTATCGAATGGATACCCGATGACAAGTACATCACCAGCGGATCCATTTCAAGCTCGTTGAACAAAGGGTCGGATCTACTTGCAGCGTCTTCGCTACTTTAGCGACACCTCCCGGAAGCATTGCTACGCTTTGCCAGTTGTGGTGGACAAGAGCTACATTGTGAGGCCGCGCTTCTACTACGGAAACTACGATGGGCTGGAATCAACTCTAGTCGAGTTTGCCATTGCTATTGGTGCGAACGCTGTGATGAACGCGAGCCTGGGAAGCCAGTCGTCGTGGTACTACGAGTTTGTGGTGAAAGCTACAAACTCGACGCTATGGAACCCGGTCGAACTCACCAGCAAATATCCCATTAGGAGGCTGACGCCCGGGATGAGTGGAAGCGTCTCGGATTATAGTGAGGTCTTGCTCATGTGGAGAAGGATCAATCTTGGAGCAACTTCAAACGAAGATATCAGGTATGAAACTCCCAAACTTTTTTCTCTTCGAGCGTTCAATTCTTCGAACAGGTATCCTTTGGATGAATACGATCGAATATGGAGAGCTGACAAGAGCTTCAAAAACATGGGAAGCTACCAGCGGATCAACACTAACTCGACTGTTTCCGTAGGGAAAACTTTTAACAAGCCTCCCATAGAGGTGATGAGCTCCGCGATCGTCCGTGATGGTCTTCGAGTTTCCAGCCACGCTCGAGGCAACGAAGTACTACGTGAACTTTTACTTTGCGGAGTTCTTCGCTCTGGGGAACGACACGAGAGAGTTCACGCTCCTTTTCAACACCACCTCTCTTGAAACTCTCCAGGTCGCGGTGACCATCAACATCGAGAAACACACCCAGGCTTCGGCGCAAATGTATCTCAAAGCTCCGGTGGAGCTTTTAGATCCAACACGCGTTTTTCTCGTTCCCATGCTAAACTCTACGCTGGGTCCAATCCTCAATGCCGCCGAGCTCTTCGAGAACAAAGGCGGTCTCCTGCCAGGGACAGAACCCGAGGATGGTATTTATTATACGTTGTCTCATTTGTGATAGTCTTCTCTTGTTTTCTTATCTGGAAGTGGTAGCAATTCTTGGACGTTGCTTTCCTCTTCCTTATACTTGGGAGGGATACATAGCTCAAATCCCGGCCAGAATCACAGAGCTGTAAGAGGACTCATATCTATCATACGAAACTGAAGAAATTGACATTGCAGGAACTTATCCAACCAACGTCTGAGTGGTAATATATCCCAGTCAAGCAAGAAGCTGTTGCATCTAACAAAAATTTACGAACGGTTCTCTAGCAATTCTTAGTTTTCTTCTCATCTTTAGTTTTTTCCATATATCTGGATAACAATGCATTGACAGGGCCAGTTCCAAACTTTAGCTCCTTGAAAAAACTCACGGTTTTGTGAGTACAGTGTATGCTCGAAAATTAGAGTTTTTCTTACAGTCACTATTTCACAGGTCATTACAAAACAACAGCATGGATTGCGTGCCACCAGAACTGCAGCTCTCTTTCAAGTTCGTTTCTCGAGATTCTCTCTTGAAATTGATCTTTCGTTTTCCTTCCTTCCGCAGCACTACTGTTAAGTTATGCGAGAAGCTCGACACAAAGAAGAAGAAGAAAAATACAACACTCTTAATTGGAGTCACGGTTCCATGCGTAGCTGTGTTACTACTCGCAGCTGGACTCGTTGTGTGTTTCATGTCCCATAGAAAGACGGACAAAGAACCATCAGACCACAAGAGTCAGGTAAGTTGCAAAATGCTGGCTTGTGCTTATAGCTTTCTCATCTCCCTGGTCCAAAGTCTCCAAACTCCGTGATCATGGCCACAAACAACTTTAAGCAAGTTCTTGGCGAAGGAAGTTTTGGACCAGTGTACTATGGCTGCCTTTCCAATAATGTTAAAGTTGCTGTTAAGGTTTTGTCAACGCCTCAAAGCAAGGATATCATGAATTTAACACGGAGGTGAGTTTGATCGTCAAGCATGGATAGCAAACTGATCTCAAACCATTGGCAGATTGATATTTTATTGGTGGTACACCACAGGAACTTGGTGTCGTTCCTTGGCTATTGTGATCAGGAGTCAAAGCGAATAGAACTTTGAGAGAGCAAAGTGATTTCTTTCGTTTCCATTTGTCATCTCTTTGATGTGGTTATGTATAGGCACAATGTCCAGCTTTGAGCTAGAAATCTCGGCTGCAAGTTGCTTTAGACGCTGTTCAAGGTAAACAGTGTGGTGACCCTCGACAACAAGTTTCACAGGATTGGAATATTTGCACACCTCCTGCAATTTACATATCATCCATCGGGATGTGAAGACAACTAATAAACTTTTAAGCTCTACCATGGTTGCCAAAGTTAGTGACTTTGGGCTTTCCAAGCTTTACAACAGGAACAACATATCTCACGTCTCAACCATCACTCACTCAGAGTGAGCAAAAACTTTCTTAATGACTAACTTTTTTTTTTTCTAACGCCAGGCTCATGGGAAATCAGATGTGTACAGCTTTGGAGTGGTACTGTTCGAGATTGCTTGCAGCCGTGAACCCATCAATCTATTGCTTCCAGAGGAAGAAGTTGCTCTTTCAAAATGGGTAAAAACACTCTTTCAAGTCTTTTGTGACAGCAGCTCTGCTTCCTCCAGGCATGCAAGGAAATTGAGAGAGGCAAGGCCTCTTTCAGCTCATTTACCACAGTGCTCATGTTCGGCCTCCTATCAGAGCGATGTTCCACACAATTCATTGCAAGTTCCAAAACTTTCCACGCTGCTTGTTCTTTACTGCCAAAGTTATAGACTTTATAGTCCAAAACTTAGGATCTACTATAATTTGCAAGATCCAGCTCGAGGAGGAAGGGAGCCCTCTCACAAAATCTATGGAATCTTTCACTAGAGCAAGATAAGTAAGTTTACCAAAGTATTTTAAGCGTTGGTTGCGTTCAAAATCAAAATCTGCTTACGTTCAGATAATTTGTTTTGCTAAAATAAACAATTGGGTCTGCATCATCATGGATTTAACCATGCAGAAATACAAGAGAAGCATGCTGACCAAGCTCCAGCATGCCTTCGGAAATCAGTGCAGCCGTCAGTAACGTTTGGTCGAGATGTTTTAACAAATGCTTATGTATCTGTAACTTTGGATTCTACACAGATATTTCAATCAAAATCCAAGCTTGAATCTAGCCGTCACAGTCACTTACCAGGTCGGCAGTAGAAGTGTAGGCCTTGAAAGGCACAAATACTGTGATTTTCTCGTGGTCTTGTCCACTCGAAAAGGTCGTCGATGATCCACAAAATCAGTGATCTTATTTGTCTCCAGCTTACTCTGGAGACAAATATTGGTATTTCACGACCACAGTCAATCATGAAAAGCACGGCGGCCATGCAACGAACTTGATGCCATAAGAATGCCTTGTGCATAACCCACAGACTTCTTCCTTCCCAGCGAAAAAAAGAGCAAGCAAGCAATAACCTGCAAGCAGCAAAAAAAAAAGAAAAAAAAAAAAGAAAAAAAAATCAGCTTTCTTCCAAACAAAGAATAGGAACGTACCAGCTGCCAATGTACATGATTTTCAAAGCTACAAATCGTCGCTTAGAGTTTCCTAGCAAGAGAGAAAGAGTCACTAGGAATTCCTTTAAAAGGATCGTAGAGTACCTTGATTTTCTTTCTTGTGATTCTTGTGAGTCCGCTTCGATTTTAGCGACTGGTTTCCACCATGCTGAAAGAACAGAGAGTAAATCGAATGGGAGAGAAGAAGAACGAATCGAGCAGTTAAATTTGCATTCTCTACTTCCAGTGCCTGCGCCAAGATTTTCACTCACTGAAGAGAGGATGATCCTCGCAGACAATGTGGCACCATCGTTCTCCAGCTCGCGGATGCGCCCTTCTTCCATCGCCCCAAAATTCTGGAAGAGCACATTTTAGGGTTTATGGCGATATTTTAGGGTTCTTGAGGTTTTCCCGCCATGGCGATGAGCTTGAGCGCCGGGTGTGGCAATCGATGGGAGCTGCTGGTGGTGCGAATGGGCGGCGGCAAGCGCACATTCCCTGGCGGCGTCACCAAGTGGCAGTGGAAGCGGCTCCAGATGCACAAGCAGCGGATGCGCGAGAAGGCGTGGCTGCTGCGCGAGCGCCGGATCTACGAGAAGCGCAAGCGGCAGGAGATGATGGCCGCGGTGACGGTGCTGGAGAAGCCGTGGGAGCAGCAGAGCTTCCCGGCCAGGACGCCCATGGCCGACGAGCAGCTCTCGGCCCTAGCCGATAGGTTCCGCAAGCCAGGCGCGCTGGATTTGTGGAACTGGCGCGATGGCCCATCCAGGAACGCTGCTGCTGGGGATGGCGATCTAGGCGAGCAAGAGGAAGGATTCTTCTCGGTCGACAATGGAGACGATCGGCCATTCCTGCCGGTGAGTATCACCGAGATTGGCTCACCACCGACCAAGGAAGATCAAAACCTCTGGGATTCTGGAAGGGACAAGCCTCGGCGGCCAGCACTGGGTAAGTCGATTCGTCCTGTTCTTCCCGAGAAATGGGAGAGATCTAGGAGCAAGCAAGAACTATGAGAATCAATTGGTAGGCATGTTTATAAGAATAAACCCTCTCTCTCTCACACACACACGCGCACACCGGAGTTCTTGCAAGATCGACGTGTGATCATCTTGGGATCTTCTCTATCAAGCTTTGGAGACTTTGATTTCCATCACATTCTTGATTTTGGGGGCATACATACCATAGACTTGGCTCTGCCTCTTGACAAGCTCGAGCTGTTCTTCCCCAAACGCTAACAAATCACGGCCTCCTCCTGCCTTGCTAGACTCGAATCCTTGACGGCAGCGCCTCGCGATGTACTCCCTAATGTTATAATCGGGAAATCTCCGTGCTTCGCGAAGCAGTGATCGATAGAGGGATCGCGCCTCCATAGCCGACGCCATAGCCACGCTCGAAAAGAAGAAAATAAATAATTGGATAGATCACCGTCAAGCTGGTCAATTGGTCAACTATCAACGGTCATTCTGAAGCATATGCGAAAAGATTCTCCATAAATGAGCTGGTCAATAGTCAACGGTCTTACGAAAAGATTCTCCATTAGCTCATGGCTTCTTCCATTCTCGCCACCAGCGAGGCGTGTTCTTGGGGCAAATTCCATGGGGCAAGGAGGAGGAGAGCGCCCAGGCGCTGCCGCAATGCTTGTTCCTGCAGGGCGTCCTGGCAAGAGGTGAGCAGAGATGGATTAATGCGGCTGCGAGATGATTTCCAGTGATTTTGATGAGCTCCCAGCTCGCCGGTGTTCTTGTGTTCTCGGCATTTCCCTTCACGGCAGTCAAGGCAATCGCGAATAGCTCGCTCGGCAAGCAGCTCCAGGAGAGGATGCAAGAGACCAAGGCCGCGGCGGAGAACTCCCGATCGGCTGTGGATGCCGCGAGAATGAGGGCTAGGGACGCGAGGTGAGGTAAAGAAATCCTTTTAGATGGAGATTAATTTGCTGATCGCTTGGCTCTAGTGTGTGGTTTGGCCAAGATCGTCCCAAATGGCTGGGGCCGATTCCATACGACTATCCTGATCATCTCCAAGGAAGCTTTCCTGGAGATTATGGCTTCGACATAGCGGGACTTGGAAAAGATCCCGCAAAATTCGATAAGTTCTTCAAGTAAGTTCCCTCCCGTGAAGTCTATGGAACTTACTATCACGTAGTTCTTTTCTTATTCTTCTTCCAGTTTCGAGATTTTGCATGCTCGATGGGCGATGCTAGCAGCGCTGGGAGTGGTGATCCCGGAGGTCTTGGAAAAGTTTTTTGGAGTTAACTTCGCAGAGAGCGTGTGGTGGCGAGTCGGGTATGCCAAGCTCGAGGGCGACACGCTAGATTATCTCGGGATTCCAGGCCTCCACATTGTTGGGGCTCAAGGCATCATCGTCATTGCGATCTGCCAGTTCCTCCTCATGGTAAATCGTCCTTTTTCTCGTCAAGTTCTTCCAATCGATACAAACTAATCTATGATCCAAACAGGTTGGTCCAGAGTATGCCAGGTACTGCGGCATCGAAGCACTAGAACCGCTAGGAATCTATCTTCCCGGAGACATCAACTATCCGGGAGGAGTCCTGTTTGATCCGCTGGGACTCTCCAAAGATCCGGCTACTTTCGAGGAGCTCAAAGTCAAGGAGATAAAGAATGGCCGTCTAGCGATGGTGGCGTGGCTGGGATTTTACGTCCAAGCTCTCGTGACAAAGAAGGGCCCTTTGGAGAACTTGCTCGATCATTTACAAGATCCTCTTCACAACAATGCCGTTACGTCAATCCTCCTCTAGCTTCGCAAGAGAAAGATAAGTTCTAGATTGATTCCTATGCTAGCCGATAAGAATTAAATCCCAGGTATGGTGTCTTCGGAAAGTCTGCTAATCCCGTGAAGCCTGGCTCGAGAACACGGTTCCGCTCAATCTCATATCTTTCGACCACCTTGTCGTGCTCGAGGAGTTCCTTCAATGGAGGTGGAGTCTCCACAATTGGTCTCACAATCTGCGGAAGAGAGCAACGAAGAACAAGAAAAAAAAGCGTTTGGCTTGTCACTGGATTGTTCTTCCACTGGCATGGAACGCAGCAAAACGAGGACGATTTGCAAGCGGAACTTGGACTTGTTCCACTCGAGGACGATTTGCAAGCAAAAAAACTTGGACGATGTGTGATCCCAGCTTGGAAGAACACACATTAAAACGATCGAATGGAATAAAGGAAGAGAAACTTACCTTCATGGGAGGGCAGTGGAATCCTTTGAGCTCTGGACAATAGAGTTCCAGTCGATCTTTCTCCTTGTAAGGAGGATTTAAGATTAACACGTTGTCGCTCCAAAACATGAGGTCTACGAGCTCGTTACACTCGTGGAGGTTGAGCTCCTTGAGCCCCCGCGCGACAATGTGCCCTGTTCTTAGCTTCCCACACCTCGCGAGCGATAGCTTCTCCAGAGAACTCGACTGCTCCAAAAGAGAGTATAAGAAAAATCCTGTAAGAAACTTGAGAAATCGTAGAAGTACCTCGAGGAAAACATACTCGAGTGCTGTGCAGCATGACAAATCCAACTCCTTGAGAGCGTTTGCTATGTTGTCAGGCATGACAAACCTTGCCAAGGACGTCGCTCCACGGAGCTCTAGCTTCTCCTAGAGTTTAAAACCATCGAAAATGTGAATGGAATGTTTTCGCTTTGTGTGATCTTACCAAGGAAGGCCGAGAGGCCCTGAAGAGCTCATCGATAAATGCCTCATTCACTTTGCTACTCCAAAGAATGGAAATCTAGCAAACACTCTACCAAGGTTAAGCGAAAGAAACGGAGGTAGTGGAAGAAAAATCGCTTACCAATTGGCAAACGTGCAAGATTGTAGCACGAATTTCCCCAAAATTCGGCGCAGCAGCTGGATCTGGCAAAGCTTCCAGCGGCCGCTCCCACTTGAAATTCCCTAGCGCCTACAAATCCATCTCAAGAACTCATCACACCGATCACAGACCTAGATCGCGATCGCCATACCTTCTGCCATCCAGAATCTGGCTTCGGCGCCCCGCCTTTCTTTCCCTTCTTGCCCTTGGGCGCCATAGCTCGGCGCCATTCCTCTCGCCCTCATCTTGATCTTGGCGGGAGACGCATCGCTCGGCCAGCGCAAATCCACACCGTCCGAATCAGGGCAACACAGGCATCTCAAGTATATTCGTCATTTTAAAAAAGTAACAACAAAAAAAGTTTGCCTTGCAAACTTCCGGAGCTACAAAAACCTCCGTGCCAGATGAATTTACAAGTCGTCGTTCGCTTTGCTCGCAGTGCTTCCCAGCGATGGCGATGCTCGAGCTCTTTGCAAAGTTTTTCTCATCTGTATTGTCGTCTCCACTCGGCGAGATTGGACCGGAGTGGTGTAAGAGGTTGTCTGGAAGACAAGCCTAGCAGCGTACAGCCCGGCTTGGCAGCATGACACTTGATCTGCAAGAAGCACAGAGAGGTAGAACTCGAGGAATCAAACGAGAGCTTGCTTTGAATGAAAGAGTTTGATCTCGGCGTGAACCTTACTCCTTGGATGTGTAGCGGTGAGATTGCTTGCCCCGTCGAGCCTGGATACTTCCCTCCCAGCAAAAGCTTGAGCTCGTTGTTCTCCTGGTAGAGAAATTCCACCTGCGGATAGAAAACAATTGCTTGTCAGCAAACACTAGCAAGAACAAGGAAGGAAAAACGAGAGAACAATAAAAAAGAAGAGAGGAAGAACAAGAACAAAAACAAGGAAGTGAAAAGCGAGAGAGCAATGAAAAGGAAGGGAGGAAGAACAATAACAAAACGAAGAACAAGGCTACCAAAGAGAGAAAAGAGAAGAGAAGTGGGCGATTCTTACCTCGACTTCCGCCTTCTTGAGATTGGCTTCGTACTGCTGCGCGTCCTTCCTCAAGTCTTGGATCTCCCCAAACAATCCCTGGACGCACCTCTCGGAAGCTCTCATCTTGTGCACGGCCGCGTCCCTCTCCCGCTCCACAGCTCTAAGAGCGGCAGCGTTCACTGCCGACGCCACCATGTCGTGAACCAGGCGCTCCTCCTCCATCCGATTCCGCCGTTGCTCGAATTCCTCCCGGAGCTCATCCGCCGCGCGATGCTCCGCCGCCGCGGCCCTCTCCTCGGCATCATCCGCCGCCTCCATGAAAATCTGCCTATCGTTGTGGTAGAGCAGGCACTCGTTCTCCAGCCGCGAGCACTCCTCGCTGAGATGCTTGCAATACTCCGCGACCTTCTGCGTCTCGGCGATCTGCCTCTTCAGCGCCTGCGCGCTCAAGCTCGCCTCCACCTGGAAAGCAAGAAAGAAAGGGAAGAAATCGCGAGATTACGGCTCCAGCAGCGATCTTTCTCGCGGATTTTACCTTGGCCGTGTTGTATTTCTGCTGGATCTCCCGCAATCTCTCTTGCAAGCAGTGGACCTGGCTCTGCAAATCGAGCTGCGAGCGCTCCGCGAGCTGGAGCTTCTCGCGCAGCTGCTGATCCGCGCAAGAGAGCCCTACCATATGCGCGATCGATCCCTCCATGTAGCTCTCCATCTCCGACGACAATGTCACTGCCATGACGAAAGAAGCTCTCTTCTTTCTAAACCCTAAAATGCCGCGCAACGGTCCAGTGGTCGATCTTTTTGCCGTTAAAGCGCGTCGGGAAGGCGACTCGAACCGCGGACTGGCTAGGCTCGGGGTACGGATGTGCCCGAGCCTACAGGCTCGGATAGGGTAGCGATTACTTCCTGTGTTTTTGCTTTCTCTTCTTCCATTTCTCTCTCAGACTCCGTGTTGTGGCGGCAGTCGCCATGAGGATGTGATGCATGAGCGCGATCTCGTGCAGCCACTGGATCGGCGCGATCTCCACGCCGGCGCCCCGCCGGTGATCGAAATCTCGGGATTCTAGAGGTGATTTTAGGGTCTGGCGCAGCGATTCCCAGCGCCGGAGCAGGGTTCTTGTTCTTAGGGTTTTCCAGGCGACGCGAATTCGCGGACGAATTGCGGGGAAGCGTGTCCTGGCCTCTGGATTTATGACCACTAATCAGGCGAAGGCGGATCCAGTTGAATCGCAGCTCAAGAGAGGAGGAAGCGGCCGTGGAGGAGCTGCTGTGTATCGAGCGACGCAGGGATCAGCAAAGGGTGGAGGCGCAGGGGGGCCTGGCCCTTCAGCGAGCGCTCCCCCTCATTCTAATCATCCCACTCCTCGTCCCAATGCTCATGGAAGCGCGGGTCGGAGGTAAGCCAAGCCTTCTTTGCTCTTTTCTTTTCTTTCTCTTTGAGTGGAAGGGTTTAATGCCTAGCTCGCAGGAAGAATAACTGGCAGCAGTATACAAACAATGCGAATGGTGGAGAGGCAATTTTGCAGCCGACTCATCGGCCTACTGGTGAGAAACATTGTGTTATTTTATTCGTTAGTGTTAACTTGCTCTTTAATGGGGGATGTTCTAGGTGGTAATGTGTCTGTGCCAGCTCCTAGGCGGCCAGTACACAACAATGGCAAGCAGCCTCTATCTCCGAGTACTCCGGAAAAATCCCAGGCTGGTGAGTTTGTCGTCTTTAATCTTGTTCCTCGGCGTTCTGATTCATAGAGTTTTTGTTTTACTGAAGATATTGCCCGGCAACCAGCAATGACATTTCAATTTGGCAGCTTCAGTCCCGGAGGGTTGGGGCCTAATGGCGGCGTGCAGGTATCTATAGCTTTGACTGGTTCTTGTGCAATGTTTTCATTGTTCATGGGTGTCTAGATTCCAGCTCGTACAACATCGGCTCCTCCAAACCTTGACGAGCAGAAGCGAGAGCAAGTACGTTTTTACTTAGTCTTTTTTTCTGTTGCTTGTGTGCTTTGCTTACAAGTTTTGCGCTATTAGGCGCAGTATGAAGCTTCTCGCGCTGGCAAGCTTTTGCCACCCGTTGTTTTGGATCATGCACCGCTTCCCCCTACACAACCTGTTCGGCCTGCACACATGCCAATTCCGATGCAAGTTGTCAGCTCTCAACCTCAGAACACGATTCAGCAGCCTTTACAGCAGCCGGTTCTCCAACACAACCACAATTTAGTTCAGCCGCCGGCCTTCACACCCGGAGCTAAGTTTCAACCGTCTCCAGTGATGGGTTCTCAAGTTGGAACCTCGATCGTGCCTCAGCAAATGATGGGACATCATGGTCAGTCATTTCCGTTTGTGCAGCGGGCTAGCAGGGCGTTGAAGATTGTCAATCCGGAAACGCAAGAAGAGGTGTTGCCTGCGTCAGTTTTACCAAGGGGGCCGCCAATCAGACCAATGAACTTTACCGGGCCGTCGCCGTCGGTGGGTATGAATCACTACTCAACGCCACTATCAACGACAGGCCCGCCGTTTTTCCCTCTGAATATGGGGGATTCTCAGAGGGGTTATGGTCCTCCTGGAGCATCTTTTATCCCCCGTGGCACGCAAGTTGCGACTCCGGCAGTGCCACCCACAGATTCTCATGTCGACACTACAGTTACACCATCTGAGCTTTTAGATAGTGCACGGGCGGAGGCTGGTACGGAGGCTGTTGTCGACAGTACTGCGGTTACAGAGACGCTCATAGAAGAGACTACTACCACCACAACCGTAGCAGTGGATGTTCCACAGGAAAGTGCCGACCAAATCGTTGAGTCCGGGGCAACAGTTTCTGAAGGTAGCGTAGAGGTTGGTGCACCTCCAACGCCGGAAAGTAGCACAGTGCAGGAGATAGAGCAGTCGGTTGGAAGTGTCGATGCAGCTGCAGCTGGTTCTCAAAAGGATGGCGATAATGACGAAAAGCCGATAGAGGTTGAGAAGCATGCTGAAACTCCCCCGGTTGCGTTGGAAGTGGAACCACCTGCGGAAGCTGTCCCCAAGTTGGTATCGGAGTCCGCTTCACATTCTACTGAGGTGGTCGTCGAAGTGAAACAAGGAAGTAAGAAGAAAAACAAGAAAAAGATTCTTGCTAAAGCTGACGCTGCGGGATCAAATGCCGACCTGTACAACGCTTACAAGGCTCCCGACGAGAAGAAGGATGAGCTCGTGGTACCGGCAGAGCAACAGGAAGTGGAAGTCAAAGCTGAAAAGAAGCCTTCAGTAGAAGTGGAGCCTCCGAAAGAGTTGGATGATTGGGAAGATGCTGCCGACTTGCCGACTCCGGCACCCAAGCCGGACGACAATACTCAGCTTTCGACACAGAAGAGATACAGTAGGGACTTTCTGCTGACGCAAAGGGAACACAACGTGAGCTTGCCACCAGATTTTGAAGTTAGGCCGGATATAGAGGTTATTTTGGTCCCGCCAGTAGATATGGGACTCCGGGGAGTTCCGCGACGACCAGCAGACGAGGACAGGTGGATTAAGCAGCCTATAACTCCATCGGGACGGGCACAGGACATTCGAGTTGATGGATTCAGACCGGGTAACACTTCAGCAGGGATGAGGTTTCCGCCACCAATGCTTCCCAACATGCCGCCTCACATTGTTCCGGGACGTGGTGTTGATTCTCTCAGCTGGATTCATCCTCAGAAGGGTCTCATTCCATCTCCTACGCCTTTGCCTGCAATGCACAAGGCAGAGAAGCGTTATGAGATTGGTAAAGTTTCTGACGAAGAAGACGCCAAGCAAAGGCAGGTGAAGGGCATCCTTAATAAGCTCACGCCTCAAAACTTCGAGAAGCTGTTTGCTCAAGTTCAGGACCTGGGGATTGAGACCGCAGCTACGCTTTATGGCGTGATATCTCAGATTTTCGACAAAGCCATCATGGAGCCAACGTTTTGTGAGACGTACGCACGTTTTTGTGTCCAGTTGTCGGTTGCCTTGCCCGAGTTTACTGAGGATGGGGAGAAAGTTACTTTCAAGCGGGTTCTTCTGAACAAGTGCCAGGAAGAGTTTGAGCGTGGTAAGAGAGAAGAGGAAGAAGCTGGCAAGACTGAGGAAGATGGTATCGCCATCACCCCGGAAGAACGTGAGATCAAGCGCGTGAAGGCCCGCAGACGAATGCTGGGAAACATCCGTTTTATCGGCGAGCTGTACAAGGAGAGCATGCTAACGGAGCGGATCATGCATCAGTGCATCACGTCGCTCTTGGGAGAATACCAGAGTCCTGACGAGGAGAATATAGAAGCACTCTGCAAGCTCATGACAACCATCGGTTCGCTTATCGATCACAGCAAGGCAAAGGCTCATATAGATGCTTACTTCGAGAGGATTTTGGACCTCTCCAACAACCCGAAGCTTCCGTCTAGACTGAGATTTGGTTTGAAGGACGTTATCGACCTTAGAAACAATGACTGGCAGCAGCGAAGAAAGGTTGAGGGTCCCAAGAAGATTGAGGAGGTGCACAGGGACGCTCAACAGGAGCGGCTTGCCCACACTAGCCGAGACAGATTTTCTCGCGGTATGAGCATGAGGCGTGTACCACCATCTCCCGGAGCTATGTCACCGATGGGTCGAGGAGGAATGCCAGGTCGTTACATGCAGGATGTTCGAAAAGAAGATCAGTTTTTTATGGATAGCAGGCCAATGCCGATGCCGATGCCGCAGAGGTCAGAGGAGTTTACGTTTGTTCCTCAAGGAGGACTTGGAAGGGGTCCAATGCGTGGTGCTCCCGGGCCCTCTGCACGGAGTGCTTTAGGCGACGTGCCACCTAAGATGCAAGTGGATTTTCGACGTCCTGGTACTGCACCAAGTATGAACAGGGAACCTTACATAAGCAGGGATGAGTTCTCGAGGGGTGGTACTGGTTTTGGGGCTGGCGAAAGGCCTATATTGGAGAGGCCTATGTCAGCTGCCCCGGGTGTGAAGGAGTATCGTGGTTTGGAACGATCTGCTAGTGATCGGCTGGCAGCTTATTCCACAATAGAAAGGCCATCGACTCCGCCTACACCTGCACCACAAGTCTCTCAGCCCCCAGCACTGACAGAAGAGCAGCTGAGAAAGAAAAGTACTCTGGCCATTGAAGAGTACTACAGGTTCAGTATTGGTTTTCTATCCAGTGCATTTTTTGTTTCTAATGCAGTGCCAATGTATGTGCAGCATAAGGGATGTGAAGGAAGCAGTTCAGTGCGTTGAGGAACTCGGAAGGCCTGACTATCACGCGAAAATGGTTTCGCAGTGGATATTGGAATCTTTCGAGAGAAAGGACGTTGAACGGGACCTAATGGCGACGCTCATCAAGCATCTACGATCGCAGAGCCCTGCGCTACTAACTTACGATCAAATGAGAGAAGGGTATGCAAATGTTTTAAGGTTTAAGGTTCCTTTTCCTAAAGTTTGTTATCTATCAACAGGATAGCGTCTGTTCTTTCTGTGTTTGAAGACACAGTGGTGGACGTTCCGAAAGCCGCTGACTACCTAGGAAGCGTTGTCGGGAAGCTTGTTGCGGAGGATGTGTTTCCATTAATTCAAGTCGAAAAACTGGTAAAAGAGGGTGGGGCGGAGAAGGATAGTTTACTGCTGAGTACCGACGCATTGGAGATTTTTGGTGCTGTCTTGGACACTATTCGCAAGGAGAAGAACGAGGAAGAAATGCTACGATTGTACAAGGCTGCCGGAGTTAACATTCAAGATTTTGTCCTAAATCCTAGACCTGGACAAGTCGAGGCGTTTTTGAGAAAAAAGAATCTTCTCTGTCTGGACCCTGTAAGTGTCAAGCTCCATTTGTATGTTATTGGTTTTCTGCTGACATATTTTACGACCATACAGGTTCTCCCTGTCGAGGGTTATTTGAAGGATGCATTCGCAAACAATGTGTCCGTTCCCGAAGTTTTGAAATGGCTGGAGGTACGTAATTCTTTCAGAGTTGGTCTCACTTTACTCAACTGGTAAATGCAAATGCACAGACAAACGCTTCCTCTTTGTTTACAAATGCTGGGTTTCTACGCATGTTGATGACTGAGGTTTTAAACCAGACGGTCCATCCTGTGCCCTCTGAAGACTACGAGGTATACTTGAGATTTTACGGCGGATTTATTTCGAAAAAATCTCTTCTTTCTTTTTTCCTGTGCAGGCTTCTCTCAAACGCACACGGAAGTACTCGGACCTTTTGAAAAGAGTTACTGCTGCAAATGCCAAAGCTGCCGGCGCAAGTCAAGGACAATGTTGTATCTTTTGCGTTCGAGTGTTCTATAGTCGGTCGACTGACGGGCTGGTTTCATGCCTTTGCAGACATAGTAGCCGTGCAACAATTTGCTCATCATCATGGCCATCCTAGCGGCTTAATGACAGCTTTGTTCAACAGTTTTTACACGGACGAGGTGAGTGTTTCCTCCCTACCTTACAAGGCAAGCGAAAGAAACTCACATCGTGAGTGTGCAGGTTATCTCGGAGAATGCTTTTTTCAAGTGGCAGGACGACGTCAAAGACCCGACCCCTGGAAGAGAACAGGTACTCTAGACTATAAAAACACGTCTCCTTCGTTAGCTAATAGCGTTGTATATAGGCGATTCGCGAAGTTGGAAAGTGGCTTTGCTGGCTTCACGAGGCCCCGGAAGAAGACAACTAGCTCGCACCATCAAACAAGCGCTGGCGTTTTCTAATTAGGAGGACTTCCCATGTTGCGGGACTTTGTACAGATTCGAAAGAGGCCAATAGGTACAATTTATCCGGAGAACTAATGGCAGCCCTGTCTTGTTTTGAAGAGGGAAGAAGACGAAGAAGAAGCGAGCACAAAGAAAAAAGATGATGAAACACACAACCTTTTTCTTTGCAAGAAGAAAGAATGCGATGAGGTAGTCCTTTTCCCGTCTTGTTTTTTTCGGTCTCTATATATGTTTGAGCGAGATCTCACTTCAAGCTGGATCTCACGAGCTCATAGGTGAGGAAGCAGGCGGCATTGGCAGGCACGCTCCGAGCCATGGCCGGGCCGAATCCCCGGTACAGCCCCTTGATCCCCTCGCTGCGGTATACCTTTTGGAAGGCGTCCAGCGTCCCCCGGAACTTTGGGTTGCTGTGGTCGTCAACTTGGATCATACTCTTGACGACGTCGGCGGGATACACCGCCAGCCAGTACATCGCTCCCGCCGCTCCGCCCGCCGCTAGCAGCGACCCCTGCCCGAGTGTGTTCGTCGCCTTCCCGCCCGCCAAGGCCTGCTTGATCGCCTCGTAGCTTCCAAACATGGCGGCATTGCCGGGGACTTCGCGCAAGAGCGTCGGGAAGAGGCCCTTGTAGAGCCCCACGACGGCGCCGCCTTCGTTCCGTGCGACGTGCCGGGCGACGTCCATGGGGCCGGCGTACGACACGGTGGCGACGCCGGCGGCGCCGCTCGCAGCTAGGGCTGACTGGGCCTGGAGCCGGCACTTGACGAGCTCCGTGGGGCAGGCGACGAGGCTGACGGCCACGCCGGCGCCAGCGCCGCAGAGCATCTGTTGCTGGACGGTCAGGATCTGCCCAGGGCGCTCGCGGAATATGCTCTCCATCTGGCCGCGCGACGCGAAGAGCACAGCGTTGAAGACCGCGACGGTGGCCAGCGGCGCGCCCATGCCCTTGTAGAGGCCCCGGGATCCCTCCGCCGCCAGGGTCTTCTTGACGGCGTCTATGGCGCCAGCGTAGATTGGCGGCTCACCTGGGCGGGGGGCGGGCTGGCTCTGGAGCTTCACCTTGATCGTGTCAAAGGGGTGGCCGACGAGGAGCTGCGCCACGCCCGCCAGCGTCCCCGACGTTAGATCCTTGGCCACATCCATTGCGCGCAATTCGCAGCCCAATTCGCCGCCGCGAGGGAGATCGCAATGCGCGTCGGACCGATCGATCGATCGATCCAGGCGAGAATGCGAATCCCTAGCGCGCGAGCTAATGGATCAACATACACAACCCAAACGGGATCGCCTCGATGAGTGACACGTGGATGATCGTACGGAGACAAGCGCGCTAGGGGAAAGAGACAACCCAAAATGTGTGCTCCCAATTTCAGGGAAATGTGAGTCGCCCATTGCTGTCCACGTGTCCGCCAAATAGCCAAGTGGTCGTGATTATATATTATGTCGTGTCAGTAATAACGTCCACGTCACCAGACACGTGGCGTGCCAGCTGGAGCACTTCTTCTTTCTCCGCCCGCATTCCAGCGCTCGCGTAAATCCCCGCCATGAGCAAGTAAGTCGACGACTCCTTGCCTCCATCCAACTCCATCAATCGATCAAACGCCACCCTTCCAATCCTCGCGTTCTTCCACTTCCGGCACGAGGATAGAACGATCGTCCAAGTCGTGGCGTCGGCTGCCCAAGGCATGGCCTCGATCGTCTCCAAAGCTTGTTCCAGGTGACCACCGCGTCCCAGCATGTCGATCACGCAGTGAAAGTGCTCCATCCCGGGCTCTACACCGTGCTGCTTCGCCATGGCCTGGAAGATCTCTCTTCCTTTGTCGACGAGTCCGCAGTGGCCACACGCCGAGAGAACCGAGAGAAAAGTAATGGAGTTTGGCTTGATCCTCTCGCCGCCACCTTCTTGCATCCGCTGGAACAAACTCAAGACCTTCTCGGCGTCACCCTGCTTGCTGTAACCTGTGACGAGCGAGTTCCAGGATATAGTATCCTTCCTGGTGATCGAGCTGAAAGCTTCCTCGGCCGCTTCCATGCTTCCACACGTCGCGTAGAAATCCACCAGAGCGTTGCCAACGAGTACGTTGCTGTGTAGCTCGAGCCTCCTTGCGTCGTCGTGGATCCTCCTCCCAGCATCCAGCGCCACCAAGTTCCCACACGCCACCAGAGCCGCCACCAGTGTTTTCGAGTCGGGCTCGCAGCCATCGCGTCTCATCCGCGAATACAACTCGAGAGCCACCTCCGCGTCGCCGTTCTCGGCGTAGCCCAGGATGAGAGCGGTCCACGAGACGACGTCTCGGTGCCAAAGTTTGTCAAAGACGCTGCGAGCTCTCGCCATGCTCCCGCACTTGGCGTACATGTCGACGAGCGTGTTGGCGACGAAGATGTCCAAGTCTAGGCCACAGTCCACCGCTCGGGAGTGTAGAGCATTACCCCTTTCCAGGCTCGCCACCTTGAGGAGCTGGCCATTAACTTCACTCGCTGCTTCGCACTCGGCCAAGATCGCGCAGGCCCCGAGTGATGCGACGAAGGTCCGAGCGTCGGGAGCTAGAGAAAGATCCTCCATGCTCGAGAGTAACGCCAGAGCTAGCTCGCTTTCCCTGTTCTCTACGCATCCCATCAGCAGACTGTTCCAGGCGACCACGTCGTACGTAGCCATCTTGTCGAAAACTTTTCGTGCATCCAGCAGGCTCCCACACTTGGAGTACATGTCGATGAGCGTCGTTGCTACGAAGATATGGGTGTCGTCGCCGGCCTCCGTAGCTTGATGGTGTACTGCCATTCCTTTCTCCAGTGAATCCCGCTTAACCATCTTCCCTCCGATGGTTTGCCCGTCCTCGCCGGCTGCTAATCCAGCAGAAGCCCGAAGAGCAGCAACAAAAGCTCGAGCGTCCGGCCGAACAACTATCCCGGAAAAGAGCTCCAAAGCCCGGACGTTCTCCCCGTTTTCTACGTGTCCCAGGATCATAGCAGTTGTCGAGACCACGTCTTGAGGCATGCTGTCGAAAACTGCCCGAGCATCAACCGTGCTGCCACACTTCGCGTACATGTTGATCAAAGTGGTCGCGATGAAGACGTCCGACGCATGCCCGGCGTAAGAGGCATCGGAGTGGACTTTCTTCCCAGCTTGCAAGTCCCTTGTAACAAGACAGGCCTTCAATGCAGCGAGAAGAACACCTATAGACGCAGACGCGCTGGACTCCGTTTTCTCATTGAACCTTGAGCTTTGTCTGTAAATCGAGATCACCCATCGCTGGAAACAAGTCGATAGAACAGCTCGACACTTCATTCCTGCTCATGCCGCCCTACAAAGAAAAGAAAAAGTTAGGTCCCTGGCTCTGTATGTATGACTTACTTTTAAAGTGGAGTCATGTCTTGAGCTTCGTTGAGGAAGAGGCAACCAAAAACGTTGTTAAAGAAATCAACACCCTTCATCACGGTGTTATCGCCCACAACTTTCTTCACGTCGTATTTGCACGCTCTTGTGCAATCTGGACAGTAAGTGACCTGCATTTAGAAGCCGAAATTGTTGAGATTGTTAACTTTGAGCTCGTTTACCTCCAGCAGTTTGGGATGAAAGTTAGAATCCAGCATAATATCCACACCATAAATTGCTCTGGACTTGGGGCTGTACATTTCCTGGTGGATAGTCGATGCTGCTTCGAAAACAGCTCGCAACATCTTCCTGACACGCTCGTGTATGTCACGCCAGTTCACTGCATGTCAAGAACTTAGTTTGAAAACGAGTAAAGGTTTGAGTACCGTTGTGCTCCTTTTCAAACTCCGGAACAAAATCGTGGGTGTTGACGTGATTCAGCTTGTTTCTATAATTCTGCGAAAGCGAGAACAATGAACCATGCTGTTGGCAGAAAAGAAAAAAGTTCGGCCTTTACCATGACAGTAAAATGAGTTTCGTACTCGGACAAACTGCTCTCGTCCAAAGTGTAGTCATTCAAAGCCAGTCGAATCTGCAAAGAAAAGATTTGATTAACTCACAGAAAGTGCCTGCAAGAAACTTACCCAGAAGACATCGCACAAGAACAGCTCCAGGGGTTGCAAACAACGCAACAAGACAACGTAGCGTAGATCAAACTTCTTGCCACGAAAAAGAGCAGGAGTTTCGATGTACTTTTGACAAATCTTCGGCCCGGTTTCCATGTGTCGTATTATCGCTGGCAGGGACCTTGTCACCGTCGTGTCAATTGTACGAGCCATATTCCATGGTTTGAGAATCCACAGATTATCGTCGCCACGCTTCTCTCTGGCATTATAGTCCCCAATGAGAGCAGCTAAATGGGATTCCAAGTTGTAAGTAGTGGGAAGCCATTCCGGGTTTCCATACGCCTGCAAGCTCTTCAAAGTCAGAAAAAATCCTGTAAAGGGAGGAGTAAAATTTACCAATCGCATGGTTTCTGCAAGGTTGTGCTTCATAACAATGCAGGCTTCGAAAGGAAACTGATTAGTAAACTGGTCTTGGTTCAGACCAAACGCTTTACAAGCTTCTTCGTCAACTTGCCAGCTTGCCCAGATGATATCGGCCTTGCTTGGATCGTCAACTGCAGAAACAAAATTCCCAATCAATTTACAGCCAGATCCAGTATAGATGATATAGATGATATAGATGATCTTACTTAGAGTAAATTCAGGACGATTCAGAAAGTCCATGACCTGAGGTATATCACTATAAACAGTGAAATGCCTCTTGTTTCCATTTGAATGCTGTGATGTTGAAATAATATCAGTCGGCCTCTTTGAAGGATGAATTTTTTGGTGATGGTCTTTGTATGCCTGCGCAAATTTGAGCTTTTGAATATAGAAGTAATATAAGCGACAACTACCTGTTCAAAGTATGCTTCTGGAGTATGAAACCATGCAGTTAGACGTGCAGATCGCTGTTTTTTCTCGTCAAATCCTAAAAGATAGTCTCTGGTGCATTCTTCACCTTTTGTAATGTTTTTGGTAGGCCACATTAAAGTATAGCTGCTTGAACACAAGAGAAATTAAAAAAAGAAAAAAGGAATAGAGAATAAGTCTCTACCTCACAGCTGAGTTCATTGACCCATCAGGAAGAAACATGAATGGAGCAAATTTCAAGTTTGGCTCATCACTATGTCTCACAGCAGACCCAAGTTCATCCATAACATACCTATCAATACAAGTTAGAAAAAAAATCAAGAGTAGAAAAAAAAAAAGACAAAGACTTCACATCTTACCACACTGGCATCTCATCCAGCTTCACTTCGTCAGCTAATCTGTATGTCATTATATATCTCCACATCGCTCGAAGAACACGTTCTGAAAGTGGCTCCTCTGGACTCCAGAGAGGAAAACGTTGTTTGAGGCGAGTATCCACAAAATCCTTCTCTTCTTCCAGAATTTTCACTACAGCCACGCCATTTATCTCTAACAGCTTAGGCAGATCATTACTGAGTTTCAATGCACTATTACCAAGTGCACCGGGAATATCAATCTACAAAAAAGATTAAAAAAAAAAGAGTTCCAACCAAAGACAAGTTTACCTCTAAAGATTTCAACAAAGGAAACGACTTCAGAGCTTGCAAGAGGTCACCGCTTGATACGTCCTCAAAGGAATTACCCCGCAAATTAAGACTCGTAAGCTTTGGCAGTACTACGTGATTAAATCCCTGAAACAATCGAAAGTTTACAAATCCCGCAGACAAAAAAGCGATAAAACCTTACCTTCGTTGGAAGCTTTCTGATACCACGATTAGAAAGGTCAATATTCTCCACATTTTCCAGCAAACCTTCGCTTCCAAGTGGATTCTCTGAATCAATCAATCCGCAGCAAAACCCAATCGACCACCAGCCAAAATCTCCAAGAAGCTTGGAGTTGTAAATCTCCAAGCTTGGACAAGCGTCCGGTAAATCTTTCAGAATCCTGTGTCAGCATCACTGTCAATCAGATCTATCGAAGAAATCTTTGAAACCGAAACTTACACTTCGCTTGAAGCTACGGGATTTTCATTCACCCAGAGCCCTCGCAAAGAGCGTAAACTAGAGAGCACATTAAGTAGCACGTCCGCGCATTCGAGTCCGTTCCCCCAAAGACTGAGAGCGATTAAATTCTAGAAAACGAGAAACGTTAAAGTCGAAAGAAAGCAAAAAGGAGCTTACCGGACATGCAGTCGCAAGATCTAGAGACTCCAGCTTCTCATCGTCGATTCCCAGTTCATCGAGCTCTAGCCACAAAGGCTCTTCATCGCCACCTAATTTCTTTGCAAGCTCTTCTTCCTTGTCTTCGTGAGATTCATCTGGATCAATCTCATTCTCTTGATCGTCCTGATCGCCAGCGACGCACATAAGCTTCGCCATTCTCTCCGCTAGTCCTGGAATAGTTTCAAGCTGTGGAAGAAGCAAAATATTGTGAAGAAAAATCATGGATGGGATGGAATCCGATGGATTACCTGCTTGCGAGCATCGGGGAGCCGGAATGACCAGGCATGATCAACAAGGAACACATCCGATTCCTTGCCGATCCCATCGCCGGCGAGAAGGAGCCGCCGCTGCCTCCCATTCTCGCACTCCTCGATCTCAAACACACTCCCACCGTCCAGGACATCGTTGACGAGCTTGTGGTGGAGCTTACCATACAGATCGGCCGGCAATCCAGCCGCCGCCAGGAGAATGCCGTGCGTCTCCACGAATTCTCGGTACTCCATCGCCAAAAACCTTTAGGGTTTATCCCGAGTTTAAAATCTACTTTAATTAATGTTAATGAAGTTCAATTAAGTTAAATGTCAATTAAATTTTTAAAGGCCTGTTAAAACTTTGCAAGCTTTGGGCTTGTATGATGGAAAAAAAATCCTCCCCAAAACAGAAACAGCACAAACGAACTTCTCCCCCCACAAAATGCAGCTTCTTCTTCCTCTCTCTTCTTCTCCCCTCCAAGATCATTGGAGCTCCCCTCCAAGATCCTTGGAACTCTTTCGATGCTTTTCCATATCAATTCTCCTGTCAAACAATGACAATCGATCGATCGAAACCAATCTAACTTACACAAACTTTCACGACGACGACGATGGCGCTGGCGGAGGTGGTGGTGTCACAGCTCCTTGCGTCGAAGAAGCCGCTCCAGACCCCGGAGAATACCTGGTAGGATCACCACCGCCGCCAGCGCTACCACCGCCACCAGCGACGCTCTCCACCTGTCTCAGCACCTCGTTCATATCCGGCCTGGAGCTGGGCGACGCCGAGACGCAGTTCATCGCGAGCTGGAGCGTGTTAAGCATATCATCCTCGGATGGAGCGGTCCCCTTGAGCAGCTCCACATCGAACACCTCGGACGTCCACTCCTCCTTGACGACGCTCGACACCCACTCGGGCAGATCCAGCGCGCCACCGTCGGCGGTGCTCACCGCGTCGCCGGGGGCCTTGCCGGTGAGCAGCTCCAGCAGCACGATGCCAAAGCTGTAGACGTCCGACTTGGTGGTGGCCTTCTTGAGCTTGCTCACCTCGGGTGCCCGGTATCCCTGCGAGCCGGCGGTGGCCAGAACGTTGGAGCCCGCCGAGGAGGTCATGAGCCGCGAGAGGCCGTAGTCCGAGATGACCGCGTTGAGGTGGGAGTCGAGGAGGATGTTGCTCGAGGTGAGGTTGCCGTGGACCATCTTCTCCGCGTCGTGGAGGTAGGCGAGGCCTTTGGCCGTGCCCAGCGCGATCTTCATGCGCGTCGACCATCCGAGCGGCGTCTCGGGTCCCCGAGCTGCAAGAACACAGAAAAAAATCCAACTTTGAGTCAATCCTATCGATTGGAACGTAAGACTTCCATGCACGATCGAATGAAGAACTTAAATGCCACAAGAAAAAAAAGAACTTTGCGTCAAATGGATCCTGAGATTCCATGCACGATCGAATGAAGAACAGAACGTCTCTCAAGTGAAACACACACGAGTGTACGTGGGAGGAATTCGAGGATGATCGGATCGAGCACACTTCAAACAAACCAGCCAAACGACCACTATCAAAGACCACACGCAAACAGTCGACGTTCGCTACCATTCAATGCAGAATCAACGAAAATGGAAAAATCAAAGCAAAGACAATCTAGACGAAAGGACCACGGAGAAACGAGCTTATTCTCGCAATCAAAGAAGAAATTTTCGCAAGCACCATCCACAAAAGCAAGAAGAAACGAAGAGAACAAAGAAAATCTCACAACACGCGTGTAGGTCGGAAGAATTCAAGGACAATGGGATCACGCACACAATCAAACCAGCCAAACGTCCACCATCACAGACCCCACGCGAACAATCGAAAATGTCGATCGCCAACCAAATCAAAGATCTAGAAAAGGGAGAGAGAAGAACTCGACCAAGCAAGAACATGAAAAAACAAAGCAAAGACAATCTAGACGGCATCACGGAGAAAAGGGAACAAACGAGCTCACGATCGAAAGAGAAAGCTTCGCAAACACCATCCACGAAACCAAGAAGAAAAGAAGAGAACGATGAGAACGAGGAAGAACAAAGAAGGAAAACGAGGAAGAAGAACAAAGAAAGAGAGAACGAGCGAAGCAAGAGAACGAAGGAGGAGGAGAATGTCGCCACCTTTCATGAAAAACTCGCCCAATCGATCAAGCAAGAACGTCGAAAAACCAATCTAGACGAAAGAATCAAACCAAACGAGCTCACGATCAAAAGAGCAAAGCTTCGCAAACACCATCCACGAAACCAAGAAGAAAAAAAGAGAGGAAGAACAAAAGAAAGAGAACAAGGAAGAAGAAGAACTCACCGTGTAGAAACGCGGCCAAGCTCCCACCATGCATGAAATCAAACACGAGCAGCTTCTCATCCTTGGGCCCCCAGTAGTAAGCCCGCAGCGCCACCAGATTCGTGTGCCGGATCCTCCCCAGCGCGCTCACCTCCGCCTCAAACTCGCGCTGGCTCCTCACGATCCCCTCGCGCAGCCTCTTCACCACCACCGTGTTCCCATTCTCCAGCGTCGCCTTGTACACCGTCCCATACGTGCTCTTGCCCATCACCTCCGCGGTCGCGCAGAGAAGATCGTCCGCGGTGAAAGAGAACGGCCCATCAAAGTGGACGAGCTTCCCATTCCCGCCATTTCCATTCCCTCCGCCACCACCGCCGGCGCCACCACCGCTACTCCCTCCGCTGGGATCCACACTCGTCTCCGCCTTGCCCTTGCTCGCCCTCTCGTGCGCGCCCGCCGCCCGCTGCTCGCGGAACCTCCACGCGATGAGCATAAGCATGCAAATCGCGGCGCCCAGCGCGAGCACTCCGCCCACGATGATGCAGATCAAGCTCAGCTTGCTCAGCCGGCTCCTGGATCGCCGCCTCTCGGCGGGGGTGGATTGCTGGGGCGACCGCGATGGCACGGGAGATTGGCACGCCACCAGCCCCGCCAGGCCGCACAGCCCGGCATTCCCCGCAAACGCCGAGCTGTTGAATCCATGGACGAAGCGCGGCACTCGCCCGGAGAGATTGTTGTCGGAAAAATTCGCGCTGGTGAGATTGCCCAGCTGCCCGATGCTCGCCGGGATGCTGCCATTCAAGCGGTTGCCCGAGAGATCGAGCAGCTGGAGCGCCGCGATCCCGCCCAGCTCGCCAGGGATCCCGCCCGAGAGCTCATTGGAGGCCACGTCGAGGATGGTGAGATTCCGGAGCCTCGCGATGGACGGCGGGATCTCGCCGCTGAGATTATTCCGCGAGAGATCCAAAGTCCGCAGCTTTCCGGAATCGGGCCAGGTGGTGGGAATCTCCCCATCCAGGCCATTCCGCGCCAGAATCAGCGTGATCAACGACGCCGACCCCGCGATCTCGGGTGGGATCCCACCGCTTAGATTATTCCCTGCCAGGTTGAGCAGGAACATTCTGCCGGAAGAGCCAAGCGATGCCGGAATGTCCCCCTGGAGCCTATTACCGCTGAGATCGACGGCCTGCATTAGCGGGGACCGGCCCAGGCCAGCCGGGATCGTCCCCGTGAGCCTGTTCTGGAAGAGATAGACGCTGCGAAGATTTGCCAGGCCCGTGATCGATGATGGGATGGAGCCCTCGATCCTGTTGCTGTGGAGATTGAGCTTGCGGAGCTCCGTGAGCTCGCCGAATCGCGGGGAGAGGCTACCACCCAGGCCCTTGCCCGGGAGCTGGACCGCGATCACTTGGCCCCTCGCGCATTTGATCCCCGCCCAGCTCCCCGAGCACGCCCCAACGCCGGTCTCGTTCCAGCTGATCAATGCGCCCTGCGCGTCCATGAAGGCGTGCTTGATCGCCAGGAGCGCCGCCAGGTTCTCCTCCGTGACAATCATCCCATCCTCGGCTCCCAATCCTCCTCCTCCGCCATCGCCATCGTCCTGGGCGAGATTGGGCGCCAGCGAGAAGAAGAAGAAGACCCACATTGCCGCCAGGAGGAAGAATCTAAAACCTCTCCTCCTCGTCATCGCTCCTACACCACAACGATCGACGATCATTCCAGACAATCGAGAAGGAGGAGATCAGTCAAACCAATACAAACCCGCTCGATTCCTCGCGCCGCGCTCGCCCGCTGGCTCGCCGGATGGATTGAAAGCTCCAAAGCTGGGGAGATTGGCTAAAACCCTTTGCTCGCTTGGTGGAATCTATGCCCGCTCCTCACGAAATCCTCTCACACACGCGAGAGAGAAAGCTCCTACTTAACTGTGTACCGGTCTTTGCTTGCTTTGCTTTGCGAGAATCCTTGGCGGCTTTGCTTCCACACAAACCACCATTTCTCCACCTCCGTCCTAAGCTAAAGAGCCACCTAAAACAAGAGCCCTAGAAGTAAAAACCATCCGGGCAAAAGTTTTTACCATGCCAGCTATTTCACTTATCTACCATCCATTCCTCCATCAACTTAGCGTTTGTGGAGTTGCCCCAGCATTTCGAGCGATTAGCATCGATGAACTTGCTAATCTCTTTTTTTTATCGCCACGAGACCAACGGCTAAATCGCCATCCTTGGCTTTCCAACGGCTATCCATGCCGGAGGCGGCGAATATCCCCTGGCATCTCTCCCGATCCCTTTCATCCCCTTTCACTGTCATTTACTGGTCCACTCCTCTGGTAAAACTCTTTTGTCATTTCTTTGCTTGGTTGCTTTGTTTTGCTCGAGATGTGTTACCATAAAATCCCCACTTTGTGTGGAGCTTAACTGTTCCATTTATGTGTATTAAGATCGCGCTGGTCCTGGGCGGATGTGCTGGTCAGCCTCCACTGCGCTACAAACTGTTGCTTTCCTCGCAACAAATTTTCTCGTCCTCATAAACTATATACTGCCAGAAAGAACGAATCAAAGTACAACAGAGCTTGGAATCCAGATTAATAGCGATAATAGTTGCAGTATATAATCCAGATTAATAGCGAAAATTGCTTTTGTGATATAATCTCACGCATGTAGTGGCATGGTGCTCCTTTTCCTTGATCGAAACTTTTGGTTTTATGGATCCATCCATCCAGTCCTTTTTGGAGCCACTTTTGCTGATCCAGCGATTGCTCCCCAAGCGAACGTTGGGAATCACAAAGGAGAGGGGTCCTTTTTGGGGGCCTTGAATGCCCTCCACCTACATATATCTTTTGTTGACGATGATGTTTGATGATACGTACTTTTCAGTCTGCGCCTCAGGCGCAAATGTGTTTGCCATTTGGACAGGCGAGGGCCTGGCGGGCATGGGCCATGGCCGGAACTCACTGATCTTAAGAAAAGTTTTAGAAACCAAACCATGAACCTCCAAACCATGAGAGCTTTGAAACGATCATTGGAGCATGCAATTCTCGCCGCTTAAGAACTGGATAGATCAGACTGGTCAAGAGGAAAGCTACATGAAACCCACACATGACAATTTAATAGGAGAGTCAGCATTGCCACCAAGAAGAAAGAAAAGACATATGGACGGATTCTTGCTGCACGACTACATTTTGGAGGCAGTGGTGGTCGACTTCGGTCTTGGCAACTGGATCATATACCAAGGCCTTGCATTTTGATCCATCCTCATGCTTCAAGTTGGGCACCAGGAGACTATCAAAACAGCATATAGATATATAGATATATAGGCCTTTTGGGGAGAAGATCCATGCTTACTAAAGCCACCATCAACATGTATTGAAAGCATACACAGTGTATATATACAAGGGAAAATTTATATATACGAGAAAGAATCTGGCGCTTTTTTTCATCTGGTAAGACTCTGAGAAAGGAGTTTGACGTATGGGCAAAGAAATTTACAACAACAGCGAAGAGAGCGATCGCAGGTTCCAGAATACTTGACATTCGGTTGCAAAGAAGAATTCTGACGGCCGTGACGGCTGCTCGTATGCAGTAAATTTCCTTGCAGATTTAACTCGTGAAGAACGCGGCCTGTAGGGGATATAGGCTTGATTGTATGCATGCATAGACGATTGTTTTTTATACTCTCTACATCTCAATATAGTTTATTTTGCCTAAGGTTCATCCGGATGGAGGAAGCCAGGTTCGCATTCGATTCTGCAGAGAACAGGAATGTTTTCTGATAGTTTCGCAGGCAACCACATCACCTAGAGAACACAAACTTGAAAATGAGTACCCGTTTCACAGCAAAACTGTGGCTTATTCCCCAGTTTCTTTCTTGCGTAGAATGCAACCGGTCCACGTACGCTCAGCACCAGGTCAGAACGAAGACAATCGTTGACTTTACCAGGGTGCGGTGCCAAAGCCGCTAGCAGGAATCGGTCCTTCAAGGTCATTGTTATTAAATCCCTGTAAAAACCAAGTGAGAACTAAAACACATCAAAGATAAAATTACTTACAAAACTGCCAGAGCCTGCATAAGGCCGATCACGTCTGGAATGTTGTCAACAAGTTTGTTCCCTGGAAGAGACAAAGCAATACTGCTCCATGAGTTTCTAAGTCAAGAGATCAACAAAGCTAGTTTGAAGAAAGCCGATGTTCAAAGGAATCTCCCCCAGCTGGTTATACGAGAGATCTCTACTGCAATCAAGTACGGAAAGAAATCAATAAGTGAACACACGACAAAGAAATACTCACAGGATCTCGTAGCTTGTGCAGTTTCCAATGTTTTCAGGAATGGGACCTGTGATGTTGTAAACAATCAAGGAAAAGAAACGGCGATAAACGAGTTTCTGAGATAGAAAAGGTGTTCCAGGAAACTGACAAATACCACAGCCTCGTAAGGCGGTATCGGGAGACAAGTTCCCAGTCCGCAAACCTCTGCCAAGAGCTCGTGCCTTAGTTTCAGACGAAGCAAGAGCACTCGAAGCAACTCACGAGTACGGCAAATCTTCACACTCAGAGATTTCATTACGCGGTAGCGCGTTCAAGTTGTTTCCACGGCAGTTCCTGGACTCGCGTAAAAAAAAGAAATAATAGGTAGGGCATGTCCAAGCATACGCATCGAATTTTTCCACTCGGGCGATCATAGTAGAGTTTTCAAGGTACGTTCTCGACGATTCATATCACCGGTTTTGGAGATTTTGACAACGCGATCACAGTGCTAAGAATCATCGTCTAGAGGGACCGGATCCGTTCTAGGCTCTTTGGGAATGGCGAGATTTACTCAGGCGCTGGCTGTCTTCCTCGTGATGATGGTGATGTTCTCTCCGTGTCTTTGCGAGTGCCATGGTGGAGTGAGTGGATCTTTGTTCAGGATTGGAATGAATAACAGTGAAGTGGCGATCAATTCGACGGGCAACAGGAAGATGTTGCTGGAAGGCCAAGTTTTCCAAAAGCTTCCCAAGAATACTCTAACAACACCACCGGGTCCAAGCAAGGATCACAACTGAGAGAAGCTTATCAAACTTGGAGGTGTTGCTAAGGAGTAAAGAGATGAAACCCAGACATTTTTCTAGTGCAATCGACTATTGTTATGATCACTATATATTTTCCATTCTAGTTCAACACACAATTGTGGGAACATGTTTATAATTTCTAAATATAATATCCGAATCTATTTATTTGGACATATTCTTTTGTTTTCAATTGCACATGATAGCATGATTGTGTCAATTATAATATTACTATGAAGCATGCCACATTTGCATAGGAATTGCACCCAAGATGCTATTTCATACAATTCTAAAGCTTACCAGCTATCAATAAAATAGTTTATAATTATAATTGGATACAGTTTTTAAGATGATTTCTATAATAAATGTTCCAACGCTGAAAGAGTAGAAGTGACTACGTGGTTCAAGTTTGCAAGCACTTGTTTTCCCAGAGCCTGGACCTTTCGAGACATGCATTGCATTGTCGAAGGAGGCCGTTGTCTATCCACAAAGTAAGTTATGGCAACCTGGAAAACTTCCGCATTAATACTTGAATGGACCGGAAGAAATGAAAAGGGAGAAAACTTACGCAGTGACCAGGCAGTAATGGATCGTCGCAGTGACGGTTATTTTCCATAAGACTCACGAGAAGAATATAGCCTTGAATCTCATCCAGGTCCTACAAAGAGCAAACACAAACAATTCTTCTCGAGATCATAAACTGCTGTAGAAGCCTACCAGATCTCACAAGCACTGCTCTGTAGATCATGTTTGACTTCCAAAGAATGCGAACCAACAGTGATCTTGGATCCCTTAAGGCTTGGTTGCAGGCGGCATTTGGACGGTGTACCTCTCACTGGATTGAAACTTGGCTATCAGGCCCTTTCTCGTCTTCCGCCTTGCAAGTTGCCACAAAGTTCGTCTAGTTGGATTCCAAGCTGAAGAACTTTGTGACAACCTGCACCAGTAAGTTCATCTGCATTTAAGATGGAGATGTTCACTCAGTCGGGTCCTCATCTTCTCATCTAACATTCGAAACAGTCTGTTTACCTCTGGAGAAAGCTCGGCTCCATCCTGCTGACATACCTAGCTGCTGATTGCTTCAACCGCGAAGCTATGTCGCTCGGAAAGCTTGAATAAGAAAAACATATGTTCTGTTTGTGATGTATTAGGGTTCTCACAAGATCCTTGTGTGACAGCCCATTCCATTCCACGAATTCCTAGTTTTCTTCTTGCTAGATGCCATTGCAAACAAAAAACACTCCCAAACACCCAAACCCTCATGCTTTATTCTTTTCCCACTTAGCATTTCCAGATCTATAAGAGGATCTCTGTTATAGCACAGAAGTGTAGCTGAAAGGAATTAAAATGGATCAACCCCACTTGGCAAGTGATGATGTCACATTTTTCCAGTGGATTCTGAAGGATTGAAATGTCACACTAAAAACAGACTATCCTAGTTTTAAGAAGTTTTGGGGTTTGGTTAGTTTTAGCTGGGGAAATATTTCTTTCAAGAGGCCATGTTTAGTTGAAGCTAGAGACTAGATTCCCAATCACATATAGAGAGTGTAGCTTAGAGCAAGAGGAAGGCAAAGATTTCGTTTGCAACGTATGTGATAAATGGCTCTCCATCCAGGCCAGAGTTGCTCTATGTTCGTGCTTTGAAGCACCAAGAAATGGTTTCAAAGATGATTGAGAATTAGCGGCCGTTGGTGGAGAAGGGAGGACATGTTCAATGTGAAGACTGCATGGTACCCACAGAAAACTATTTGACTAAGGTTGAGGTATGGGTTGCTTCACTGGCGTTTGTTCGTCAACTAAAGAACAATGCTGTGAACCAGTGCGATGCGTGAAGATAAAGAAAGATCTAAATAGCGAAAGAAGAGCTCCAGATTGTGAATGACATGGAGAGCTACTAGACCCTTGAAAGGATTGCCAGTCTGTGTCCAGTATCTGGAAATGCAGCTGGAGGATACACTAATGAAGACAATAAAGATGTTTTGGATGTGGTGGCCGAAAATAGCAACCATTGCTATAAGGTGAGGCTTTTTGTTGACAGTTTCAAGTGTAGGATAGAGGTGCTAAAAACCTTGAGATCGATAGCTGGAAAGAGCC